TGAACCTTTAGGTTCAAATTTTCTTTCCATGACGCCCGGCAGTCGGATTGTAGCTTTCTGATGGCAAAATACAAGTCAGAGATTTTTTAGCAGCAATTGACTGTTGCGCAGAGCACTGCTATTCTTCTACAGATTACAATGTCACCCTCGGATTACGGGGCTACAGTCAATCACCGGTCCTTGCACAAGGTTTTGAAAACCGCGGAATCTCAGTGGGAAATGAGCCATTTGGTTCAAACCAAAGTATGTAGGAGATGTGTATGTGTCCATAGATGTCCGACCTGCACAAAGAATTGGTGAAAACCATCAACTTTCTCAAGTTTTGGGCAATTGGTCCAGCCCTGATTTCTGATGATCCCCGCTCCTTGCAAATTTGCAGAAAATGGACCGGGAGTGCTGTTTGAGTGGGAAATCTCACTAGGGGCCACAATTCCAAGAGTCAAATCTCCTGTTGTATGGTTTCACACAGACCCCGAGTGACATCCTGTCAAGTTGTGCACAAATCACAACTGAGCCCCTCAGTCCACATTCCATCGGAAATTTTCACGTTTTCGGGTGTTCAAAGTACTTATGAACTATTCCAGACCTCTCATAACAATCTAAAGCGCATTGTTTGATGATGGTTGTGCTCGGTGAGTGATTTACACGTGTTTGGATCACAAGTGAACATGCCGCCAGACAAATTATTCCATTACAGGGCTTTGTGGAGTCAATACCGCCCAGACTTTTTTGAGCACAACATAATAATCCCCTAGATAATCTACGAATTTTTCTGGAATTATCTGGGTGTCAGATCATGTGTATATTCCCATAAACTGAAAATTTGCCCAATATAGCAACTGAGTCCCACACACCTTCACTCCTGGGGCTCACGAAAAATCGAAGAGGCACACCTCATCCATATGCACTGAACTGTAACAAGAAACCTTGAGAAATGGAGGTGCATGACACGAAGAAAAAATCTTTTGCAAGGACCATGGATTTTGCAAGGACCGTGGATTGACTGTAATTAATTCCACATTCTCCGACGCTTGCTCGGTCGACACGCAAGCGTCGACCAGCTCACATTGGGCAAGCATTGGGTAAAATTCCCCATTTTTTCGCACTTGGAATGAGTCAATTGGATTTTTTGACTGAGGGCTGTCATCTATCGACCATAAGTTAAAAGGGTTCCTCATTTCATGCACCTTAAACAAGAAGTGCCGGTGATCTCGGCATGTCGGCACAGGTTCGGAACACTCGGTCCGCTTCGTTCGAGGTGTTCATAACCAGCCACAAAGGCCTCAGTGGATTGTGCGGCCTGTTTTAGCCTCACAAGCTCACAGGGCAATATCTTTAGATGAAATCTGCCCCATTCCAAGTCAGACTGAAGATGACCGGCTGTGCCGAGTTGCAGTTCCCGGAGACCGGGCCCATGACACACAATATTTGGAGGGGGCTCTTCTCAAGAAAGTGGGCTTCTTATCAACTTCTCGCAACACTGATCACCGCAAAACTCCGCAAAAGCATTTCATTTCCATAGTTTGCCATCCTGCCAGCTTGACTCCTGATCCGCCAACACAGTTGTGCCATTTGTCATTTTTGCTGACAGACCCTGATGTGGCCACAGTTTTGATGGCACGCGATTCCTTGCGCAAGTTGGGGTTTTTCGCTCAAAAATTCCCTGGAATGGTTTTTTTTTGAGGTACAATAAACTGTTTGCACAAGTATCATAATATTCCAGCGCCGTGGGCTATTGCTACACCAATGCCGAACTCGTGACTAATATTGTCTTACTCAACTTGTTTGTACATGTAGCAAAATAGCAAAAACCCAAGTGCCTTCTCCCGTAAGTAGCCGAACCTAAAGGTCCAGCAATAATACAGGCCAGCCGTAATCAAATATATTCGGATATTTTCGGAGGCCAGGATCTCAATGGCGGCCATCAGAAGCCGTGCTTGGATAGTTGGCGGAGATTCGGCATAGGGCCAAGAGCGAGAAACGGATCAGCGGTGCTGTATAGCTGTCATTCAGATCTCGGATATATCAGGATCAAGATGTCAGGACTTTTTCTTTCGAAGTCCCTCGACCAAGACTTGGGAAAACTCCGTGCCGTCATCGATGGCCTTCCTCCGTCCTGTCATTCTGGCCGGCGCGATGGCCCCCTCGCAGAATATCTCATGCCAACATTATCCAGCACCACGGAGGAAAATCCACAACTGGTCTTTCCCACCTCCTCAGACGGTCCGTACTCCATCTTCAATAAACAGTGGGAGCGTGTCTTCCAGAGGAAGCCCACGGACCCCTCCGATAAACTGCAGCGCCTCATGTGTCGCGGCCAACACGGCCTGATCTTGGCCTATTCTTGGGCGGCACATTACCGACTTTGATGATTCGCTCGGATGGTGGAGGGTACACTTCAATTTGGGCTTTTCCTGGCTAGCATAGTTCTGGTGTTCAAACTAGAACAACCAGGGCACTCTGAAACATATGAGCCGCGTTGCGCGCGATATCTTGGTCATCCCGGGTGTCAGTATTTCCGTCGAGCGTCTGTTCTCGAGCGTCAAGAAGACTTTATCTGATGATCGCTCATCCATGACTGCAGAGACAGCGTCAGTGGACATTGTTACAAAGGAATAGATCAAAGCCGGTCTGGCAGAGGGCTTGAACTGGATGGATTTTATTAGAATTATTGAGCGGTAGAATATATCGCAATATATTCAAAATATATTCACCTTCAAAAATATGAATATGATACGCTACAAATACGATACGGGCCTCCAGTAGTGAATATGATACAGATATGAATACGATACGCCAAAATCGTATTCATATCATATCATGGCCAGCACTGGTTGACTTCCCATAAGATTAGAAATATGTGTTAGGATTTTTTTCGCATTTCCGGCAGCGATGCCGAGACAGCTGTCAGGACCCCATCGGACTTGGATCTCGTCTAACGTCGCTTTTCCCTTCCAATAAACCTTAAATTTATTCTAATCTGGAGAGGGGTACCCCCCCCCCCCCCCCCCCCCCCTCTCCAGAATATAATAGAGGAGAATAAACACTTTTGGCAACTCCTCCGCCTCGATTGGGCGATGTGTCACGACCGAATCGGACCGACGCATACCCATCAATCTCATGCCGCCCTCCCGATACCAGTGCTGGTACCCATCGCTCCCGGGCCGTGTGCACTGGACCACTCACCGGTCACCCACTCCAGGCTCTCAGTCTGAAACATGCCCCGCCGCACACTAGAGCTCCCACAGGCCAAATTTCTTCGTTCATTTTGTCCTAATTCATTTTTTGTGGCTGCTGCCGACAAAGCGAACACGTCGAGATCTATTGATGGGGAGCTTGCTCGTGGTGGATAGAGCGTCGATGCGTTGTTGGGTGTTATGCGGCACACCGGCATTCAACTTCTTGATATATTCTTCGTCTCTATTCCAAAATATTCTTATGGGAACTGGGAAATTGGAATCCTGGATTAAACACCTTATGCCGACATCCCTGGCACCCCTAAAAAATTCCAGAAAGAAAATCTACTCTTATGGGAAGTCAACCACTAAAGCCAACCAAAATACACCTAGCTGGCCATGGATTATGTATGGCTATTGCTCCCTGAGCCGTCGGCTCCCTTGGTGACACAACGGTGCCTATGTTCGGTGTTAATGGGTTGAACGGGGTGAATACATACACCCTGTTCTCTGTATTCCTACAAAGTCTGGGGGCATTTCTATGGTGTTCAAAGTGCACATCTAATGAAAATCACCCTTTGAACTTTTTTTTTTTTTTTTTTGAACTTTTATCCCTCTTTTGCCTCAAAATCTGCATGTCTCTCTCTCTTTTGGGGTGCTGAGTGGGGGGGGGAGAGAGGTGAAATTTCGAACTTTTTCCCTCTCCCTACTTCGGATATGTTTTATATCACTCTACTTGTCAGATCGGTATCGGTAATCTCTCTCTCTCTCTTCCGACACAAAATTTTTATCTGTCTCTTTTGTTGAAAAAAAAAAAAAAAACCTCTCTCTTTGCATGTTGAGGAATTATCTATCCCTCAATGCTTTCCAACTTTCCTCTCTCCCACTTGCAACTTGAGAGAAAACTTGTAATCACCCTCTTCATGGCTCGGGCCCGAGTCGAACGGCGCTCCCACAAAATCCTCACGATGATGTTAACAATTTTGTGGGTGTGGACCATCCACCACCGAGCCTGTATCCTCTCCTTCTGCGGATGCATACACAGATGTTCGAATTTGTACTTGGTTTCAGCCCAATAATTATCCTGACTGGTTCAGTTTTCTCCAGTACAAAATTTGAGATTACCTCGATAACCTTGAATTTCTCCAACCGAGTAGCGTCGTTGGAGCGTAATCCGCGGCTTGAACACAAGTGACTAGAAAAATATTTCTGTTACCACCATGGCTCGGACCGGGCGCTCCCCAAACATACATGTTTTGATATTTATTGAGGGCGTGGACCATCCACTACCGAGCCTATATGCTCTTGCCTTCTGAGGTGGAATACACGGACAGTTTCTGAATTCACACTCAGTCTCAGTGCAATTCTTCACCGCGGCCCGGCTTGGTTGAATTTTGCCAACCCAAAATTTGAGGGTGCTTTACTTTAGATGACTGCATGATATTGGAATTCGAATTCCAAGGAGGCTGCCCAGAAGACAGGTAGGTGACAAAAAAAAAGAATTGAGTGGCTACCATCATGGCTCGGGCCCGAGTCGAACGGGCGCTTCCCCAAATCCAAAGTTTTTTCTCCGAATTTATTGAGGGTGTGGATCCTTCACCGCCGAGCCTCCTCCCTCTCGCATTTTGTGGGTGCACACACGCACAGTTCTGCAGTTCATTTGGATAAAGTCGCATTCACTTTCGAAGTTTCTGTGGACTGATTAATCACTTCAGCCCCTCGGAGGCTTGGTTGGATTTTCCCAACCTCGTATTGTCATTGACGTGATTGAGGTGCTCTGAGGACAGGCAGGTGAACCCTAAAAAGATTGTTTGGTACCGGCTATGGCTCGGGCCCGAGTCGAACGGGCGCTCCCCAAATATAAATGTCTTGATATTTATTGAGGGCGTGGACCCTCCACTACCGAGCCTCCCTCCTCTCGCATTTCGTCGGTGCATAGATGCCAGGACAGTTTTCTAAATTCACACTCACTTTCAGTGCAATTACAGTATTCGCTTCGGCTGAAATTTGAATCAGAGGCTTCATCAGGAAAAACCCCCCCGGCCGTAGCACCCCGGTTGATTAGATAGCACTACAGAGAGATACAGATCTCCACGCCAAGCTATAGCAGCTACATAGCAATTGTATGCTACATATCGGTGAACCAGTGACACACAGTGCTACACTACCTTGCAAGATATCTACAGGGTGTTACATAGCTTCTTGCTTTATCTACTGCAGCAATGTTGATCAGGTTTTCGGGAGACCTGTCAAAAGTTAAATTGATTAACCTGATTCTACCAAGATTCTACCACGTCGTTCACCCTGTGAACGACTAAATGGTCTGTAAACTCGGTAATATACCCGGTTGAATTCGACACGCAAACTCCGCGGCCGAGGGGGTTGTTCTTCCTGCACTCATTTTATGGTGACTGGCAATTGCCACCAAACAAATGTCTGTTTGTTCCTTATTTGTTCGCAGTCGGTCCTGGCTACAGCCTCGCACAGTGCATCCAGCACCTCAAACTAAAATTCAGGGGGCTTCTAAGCTACATCCCCAGGGAATGTCCCGCATACATTTTTTAAATTGGGCTCCAAAAAATTCCTACGAAGGGCGGGATTTGGCGGGGATTTGATGCCAAAAATGATAAATAAATTCAAGGATCGCTAATGAGGGACAAAATGGAAAATCTGGCCGGGACATTCCCTGTAAATGCTAATTTTGAAGACATCTTACACCAAGAGTTTGGTGAAAAGGTTGGTGGTTGGAGCTCTATGATGGACCAACTGACGCCGGACATTTGATCCCAGCCAGTTGCCAGTCACCACATTTTAGAATTAGAGAAGAGACTAAGTCTTTTTGAACACAGGAGTGAACATGCCAAGCAACAGGATGGTCGATTTGACCTTGCACAGATTCCCGAGAAAAATCTGAGTTCAAACGTTCGGATTTGACAAGTCAGTAGCCGAGCGGCCCCGGCGCCCGAGCCCATCAAATCGCGTGATGTTGGTTGATATTGATGCGACGTCGTTGCCACGGTCGTCTCTCTTGTCTCTTCCCCCCACCATCCTGCTCTCCACCTCACTGCTTTGGCGGTGTATGCTCCCCCAATCTCCATTACTCGGCTACCCTCTCCCATCCGAACCGCAGCATTCAAGCCTCCAAGTGCCAGGCCCGCGCAATCGGCCGCATGGCAAGTCCCGATCTGACTCGTCGTCCAAGCCCTATGAGTACCGGACTGTCAAAACCTCTTCCGACCTCCAAGACTCCCATCAAGACTCCCTTCAAGAAAACTCCAGGCATTCCAGACTCTGCAAGACCTCAATTCACGAATTCAAGCAAAGATTTCATCAAGTTGGTCACAAGACGCGATGAAGCTTCGAGTACCTCAATCGCCAAACTCTTATTCAGGCCTCCGCGCTCCAATCGTGTCCGTAACTCCTGAGGTGCGCCGGCTTGTATCATTTGATTATTGCCACTGATATCACCTCTCAGTTTCTTTTCAGCGCGACACCTTGTCCCCTATTCCCAAGCCGGAGCTTCCTCCGGCCATGTGTCCCTCCTTCTTCTGCTTGCTGATCTGACCTGTTTTTTCAGCTTCCACTCCGGCGCTCAGCCAATCAGTAGTGTCACCGCCCCCACCTTCCGCAAGCAGATTCTCGACGCTGCACTCAAGGAGGCGCAGGAGGGCTTGATGACGTTTGATGATTCTGAGTAGATTATGATTTTTGATTACCCCCCCCTTTTTTATGCTGTATTCCGTCCAGTAAATGATTATTTATTGTTTTTTTTTTTTTTTTGCGATCCCTTGCCTTGAATGAGCAACTATAATGGCCTATGTGTAGATATGTAGTCTACGGCGCTACGGTGCTACAGCACTATGTATTGTTGGCTTGGAACTACCCTAGCTACAGTGTACTACATAATTACGGCGGAGAGCTACAGCGTGCTATATAACAGGGGACAAACGACAGCGCTATACGAGCTATCGTTGATACATAGGGTGATGTAGCTTGTGGGGTTTTTCCTGATGTTGGTTGACTTCGTTAACCCAGTAAGGGTGCTTTATCTGGCATGACCACATCAAGTTTCAAGGTTCCCAGAAGACAGGTAGGTGACAAAAAAAAAGGATTTGTGTTACAGCCGTTTGCATAAGTCCGTGAAAACACGTTTTTTTTTTTTTTTGCTCACGTGCTTTGGGCCGAGATGCCCAGGCTTTTAAAATCCTTCATTTCAGTTCCTCCCGCAACTAGAGTCCCCTCAGAGGTTATCTGGATGGAATAACTTAGGTATAGTACCTTGACTTTGCTTCGGGACTCTTTTCTGTCCAGCATGTAATGTGCAGCTGTTGAGTAGGCCCGCCTCGGCATCTCCCCGTCGTTATAATTTTCTCCAGACATGAACATTCCATTCCTAGAGTTTGAAGCGCACGCAAACTTTGACCGCGCGGCCCCTGATGTGACTTACTCCCGGGTCGTGCATGCCGTTGTCAGCATCAAGGGTGTACATAGGACAACAACTCCTTTCAAAATGTTGTGGACATGGCCGAAAAAGTAGTGTTGTCATATGTCCTCTGGGATCCATTTGTAAATTGTGTCTAGTAAAAACATACCGGTCCAGGGATCCGGGTTGTTCCGGTCTGAGCTTGTTTCGAGGTTATCATTTCCACTAACTGCTTCTCCATTCTCTTTTAGTTCTACCGCGGCAAGCCTTGGACCGTGACCGTGAGCTCGGCTACGAGGGTGTGGAGGAGTCCAGGGACCGTAGTGTACACTTAGTGCGTACATTCAGCTACTCCCTGGGCCCGGCGTTCCTAAGCGGGACCGTGCCGTGTAATTCTACCTACCTACCGGCAGATTCGGCATCCGGCGTACACTCGGCACGGCCCGGCATCGGCGGCAAACCACCCAATACCTGCGCACCTGTAACTGCCTGGGCCAGAACACCAACAAACATGGTTGCTGCATATTAATTTCATGAATACCTTGTGGTCGGCAGGCATTACTAAAGGAAAGAGGGAGATCAATGTTTTTAGATCAGCCGCATTCGGCAAATCCCACCATCTATGATCACCGTGCACCGGACATTTGTAAATGTTGTTTGGGCATAGTCAATGCATAAGGAACTTCAGAGGAACTGCAAATGAAGGATTTCAAACCCCCCGGGCATCTCGGCCCAAAGCGCGTGAGCAAAAAAAAAAAAAAACACGTTTTCACGGACTTATGCAAACGGCTATAACACCATTATGGCTCGGGCCCGCGTCGAACGGACAGCTCCCACGAGGCATCTCATATTTTTTGTGGGTCCACCGCCGAGCCTTCATCTTCCCATTCTGTCGGTGTACACTGACCGTTTTGCGGTTCATTTAAACGAAGTCTCAGTGCAATTATTCATCTCGGCCTGGCTTGGTTGACTTTGCCAACCCATATTTGAGGGTACTTTACTTTGGATTATTGGAGGTGAGAAAAAAAATTAGCTTGCACTCGAGTGTGCGTCTATGGCTCGGGCACGAGTCGAATGAGCGCTCCTACGAATTGTTTCAGTTAGGTTGCTCACCCAATCTTTGTAGGTGTGGACTCTCCACCACCGAGCCTTCTCCTTTCACCTTCCGAGGTCAAATACACGCACAGTTCCGCAGTTCATTTAAATGAAGTCACACTCAGGCTCGGTGCAGTTACGGTATTCGCTTCAGCTGAGGCTTGGTTGACTTTGTGAACCCATATTTGAGGGTACTTTACAGGAGGTGAGAAAAAAATATAAGCTTGCACCCGAGTGTCTGTCTATGGCTCGGGCCCGAGTCGAACGGGCGCTCCTACAAAGCATTATATGATGGATCATAATTGGTTGCGGGTGTGGACCCTCCACCACCGAGGCTTATCCCTCATCCTCAGTGCGGACCAGTACATGGACGGTTTTTTTGAAATTACACTCAGTCTCAGTGTGATTACGGTACTTTGGTTGAGGCTTGGTTAAATTTCCCTAGCCTAGCATTGTGGCTGGATAAATACTTAGTCTATTGGAATTCGAACTGCCTTGGCGGCACAGGTAGGTGACAGAAAAAATGGTGTATCCAGACGAAGGCATGGCGCGGACCCGACCGAGTTGAACGGGCGCTCCCAAACGTAGATGTCTTGGTACTTATTGAGGACGTGGCATGTCCACCACCGAGCCTTACCTCTCGCATTTCGTGGGTGTATACACGGATCGTTTTGCAGTTCATTTAAACGAAGTCTCAGACCAATTACGGTATTCACTTCGGCCCGGCTTGGTGGACTTTTCCAACCCAACATTCGAAAAAGCCTTTAGCGATACATCGGCATGCTAAATAAACTTCACTGGTAAGCGGCCCCGAAGGTTCGCTCGGGACAAGCAGGTGAGAGAGAAAAGAGTTCTGTTACGAAAGGTAAACAAGGTAAACCAAAAAGGCATAACAAACGACCATGGCCCGGGCCCGAGTCGAACAGGCGTCTTCTGCAGAACATGATTTTATCATCACGAATTGCAGATGCACCAACCGCTTTGCCACCGAGCCGTTATTGTGTGGGAGTGGGAATGGTAAGAACCTCTTTGAAGCCTTCCTTCCAACACGAGAGATAGGGGCTCGCCGGCGATCATGACTTTGTGACATCACCGTCTCCGTGACGAGCGCGTCCCTGACCAATCAGCGTCACACACCGCCTTGTCTTCTTCTCCTTTCCTCGTCGACTGAATCACACTTGAATAAAATGGACGTCCTCAGAAAAACCATCGACGGCGACACGCCCGGGTCCTCCCCGCCGCCCTCCCGTCTGTGGAGCTCCGTACCGGGCAGCACCGCGCCGAGCTCGCCTGGCCCGTTCCCCGCCTCTTCGAGTCCGAGTGAGGGTGGAGAAGTGGACGTGGAGATGGACACGGTACGCGTTCCCTGCATTTGTCGCGTACCTTTACCTCCAGCTGACCTGGCCTGACGCAGGCCCCCGGTGCCCACCCCTCCTCTTCTGCTATCTCTGACTACGGCGAAGACGACGAGTCCGAATCGCCCGATGCCGTGGCCATCGCGGCGGCCCTGCGCGATGCGGGCGTGGACGCGCTCGGGCGGGACGCGTCCTCCGCCGCCGCCTCCCTTCAAGCCGAGTTAAGCGACACAGCGCCGGGTGGCGAGGACCCCCCGACGCAGGAAGGCGAGCTCACCGAGTCGCAGCTCTCGCGACTCACGCACGTCCTTGAGCGCAGTGCGCTGTACAGCAGCATTTTGGAGCGCCAGATGCGCGAGGCGCGCGCAAGGCATGCGGCGTCTTTTGCCACCGATAATTCTACACGGAAATCGACAGCCGAGGGCAGGGGCAAGGGCAAGAAAGCGGCGAAGCGCAGGCGGGTGGACGACGAGGACGACGAGGGTTAGTCGCGTTTCGCGTTTGGTGCTACCGCTCCCTAACCTCCTCCTTTTTTCTCCCCACAGACCCCGCCGAGCCCAAACCCGACAACGGTGCTAGCGCACCCGCACCAGCCTTCCCCCAGCCCAAACTCATAACCGGCGCCACCCTCCACCCGTACCAGCTCGAGGGCCTGCAGTGGATGCTGGGCCTTGACGAGCAGGGTATAAGCGGCATTCTCGGTATGTGTTGTCTACTTCTGTTCCGTATCTCCCACTGCATCTCCTTCCTTGTTTCGTTCCTGGTTTCGCGGGGCGTTTTCTTGTTTCGCATCGCGTCTGCTTCTGCGCGACGCGAGCCATGTGTGTGCACGCCACGCTACACGCTATCGTTCCCTTTCCCTTTCCCTTCTCCTTGTCCCTTTTCATTTTGTGTGTCGGCTGGCTGGCGGTGATCGCGCGGAGCTCCCGCCGCGGTCGCGATGTCGCGGACTTCGGACTTCGGACTTTGCGCGCTCTTTTTTCCTCCCTCGTCGTTTTCGGTTTTCGGTGTCCCGTTTTCGCTTCGCGGGAGAGGGAGAGCGACGGGTGCGATGATGTGATGCGCAGGGCAGGGCAGGGCGGCGGACGGTGTGCGGTGGGCGTGCCACACGCACGCTCTCCTGTTTTTTTCTCGGATGGCGCCCGACCATCCTCGCCCGCTGGCAACGTGGCAACATGGTCGCTTCATTCGCAGGGGAGGGAGAGGGAGAGGGAGAGGGCGTCGGACGTTGCTGTGGACGTGTGCGATGGTGCGATGCGCAGGGCAGGGCGGCGGACGGTGTGCACGCCACACGCATGCACGCAGGCTCTCCTCTTTTTTTTTTTTGCTTGTTTTTGTTTTTTTTCGCTTTTTTCGGGGCTCTTGTTCATGTGGAGTCGTGCGTTGCGCTCGCGCGGGTGCCTCGCCGACTCGGATGGCGCTCGCCCTTCCTCGCCCGCTGGCACCGTGCTGCGTGGTGCGCTTGCTCTCGTCCTCGCTGTCTGGTCTGTGTCACGCCGCGGGCCCTTCGTGGCGGCGGCACGTATCTGCTGCCCATTTCTTTTTTAAATCTTCCGTGGTCCGTACTCCTTACTCCTCCGCGCCGGATCTGCGCCGTTCTTTCTTTATTTTTATTTTTCTTCTGTGGCTGAAGCAGCCCCCGTGCGTCGTGCGTTTTTGCGGTGGGGTTGACGCGCTTCGTGCGTCGTGTGCGTTTTTGCAGCCCCGCGGACGCGCTTCGTCGTTACCTCTGCGCTGCGCCCGTGTGGCTGCACCGTTGGCGTTGGCGTTGGCTCCCCCCTACGGCCATCCTTCTACCACCTACCCTCTACATCCTCTCATCTCATCTCATTCCCGTTCTCGGCCTTCTTCTTCTTCCCCCGTTCTCTCGCTTCCTCGTCGTAAAGTCCCCTTCGAACCCATTGACCGGGAACCATTGTCAAAATTGCAGGGCGAGCTCAATTCCCACTTAATGTGTGTTCCAACACTTACCAACCAAGTTCTCCGTTCTCAAATTTTACTGACTCTCCTTCAGATTTTGCTTACTATGTTCCAGGTCTCGATATGCAGTCCCTTCGCTTTGCGCCACTTCCATGTACTTCCTTCGTCCGTCAATTTTGTTTCCTCCGCACAGAACCCCATTTGGCGCCTGCCCTGCATTCAATTCGACGCACCGTGATGTTTGGGCCGAGTTGCGGCATATTCCGGTCCGGTCAGAACCCATCTTATTCTTCACAGACTGGCCAGAATTTCGAACGGTGGTCAAGATTGCTTAAATCAAATATGATTTGCGTCCAATCAGGCTATCATGGTGTATGGTTTGAATTTTGGTTCGATCTTGACTGGCCAAGCGTTCATATTCTTAAAATTCAATCCGCAACGGCGGCTTTGTGGGGGGGAGGTTCTCGTTGATTCTGGGTCAAATCGCGTCCCGATATCCATTTGCACAGTGCTTGAATGCTGACAATGCAGCCGTTCATCCTCGACTGAGACAGGTAGGTTACTTGTTCCTCAATTCGTTTACTGAAACACTATTTCACGGCTTCGCACGCTCGTCCTTCGGAGATCGAACCTATGGCCGTTTGAAGAGCGGTATGCCCGCATTCAATACTAATATTTTGTAGTAATTTTTGAACTGACCTTTATTGAAGGCATTCAGGTTGAAGCCCTCGTCGTGCCATCTTCATTCATTTATTCTTACCCTAACTGCATATATTTTTTGTAAAACACTTTAACAGGTTCATACACGCTGTGGACAAGCTGTGGATCAGGTGAGTTCCGTGTCCTTTGGACCCACCTATCGAGTTCGACTGGCGGTATCTAGAGGCATTCACAATCATAGTACATTCACATTCATTGCTCACGCCGTGCTTCGTAAGTCTTGCGCCGCTACGAATACTGGAATTCCATTCCTCCGAAATCAACGTGTATGCTTAGGCTGATTGTCATCCTCGGCCTCTCCGTCGAAGTTCTTTTCGAAGCCAGTGCCAACCTTTTTTTTTTCCTTCACAAGTTGAGCTTGCCTGGCCGGACATTTTTTCCATTCGCTGCCCCGTGTAAGAACGCTTAATTCACATCTGCGTTCGAGGGGGATTTGCTCTTGGTGGTGGGCCGCGGGATATTTGTGGGGCAGTGCTTCTGTCCAGGATATGATATATCTGCCTGTTGAATTTGATTGAGACAAGCTGTTGCCGCGAACACATCTGGAAAGCCCGGAGGTTCTATATAGTGCTATATAGACCGGGTAGACCGGGTAGCGCTGTACGAGGTCGGTCAGTTCAAAAAATACTACACCTTGTGGCTTCTGTAGGCCAATTTATATTTACTTTTGATAATGACGAGTAATGATGCGTTGCGATGTCAAAGGATAACCTCTTGGGGAAGATTTCTACGCGGCCTACGCGTCTCTACGCAAGTGTACGCGAGTACTGAATCTACGCGGTCTATGTAGAAGGGCCACTTCTATCCCGCAGAAATGGGTTTCCAGATGCATATCACAGGTATATATTATTTGGGGACCGATGTGGTTACATGGGGAACCAGGTGGGAAATAGTTTGATTACTATCAGTGACTGCCTACCGGGCCAGTCGGGGTAACGGGCCATTGGCTAATATAAGCATAGAGACTACGCAAATACGTGTTCTGCGAATTGTGGAACGAAATTGGATGTCTAACGCTGATGTAGATCAAATTTTGAGGCGGAGTGATGCATTGATCAGATGCTGTGCCCCGTTTGTTTCCGACCGCCGCTGGCGCAGTCCTTTTCCTCCGTTCTCGACCAATTTTCCACCGAATCCCTCGTTTGTGGGCGCGTTTTATTGCCCCCACTTAGGGCGATTGCTCTCTGTGGCCCCTGGATGTCGGATTGGGCCCGACCGTGCGCTAAAATGTCCAAGAAAAATCTGGGCTCTCATTGATCGGCGCAAGACAGACCACCCTGTGGCGACGCACCCGACATTACTGTTGCTCTAGAATTTGGCATGTACACTTATTGTATGCCCCTCATTGAATTCTCACTTCTGTTTGGGCGGCTTCTCCTCGACTTCGTGTTCACTGAGGGTCATTCCTCCGAACCACCAAATTTTGCTGTCGCAAATGAATGGATTCTGTTTGGCGCATTATTGGTATGAAGGAACCATCCAACCTACTTAGGTATGTGCTATTACATCCCATCTATCTTTTTAACACCTTCTTTTAATATTCGGCCCTCTCCTTTGTAGCGCGCGCGATTTCGTCGATACCGCAATTTCCCCCTTGCTTCCGAGCCAAAACTCCTCGCACTTATAGCCCTTGTACACCTTTGAGCCCCATTCTGAGTGTACAGAATCATGCATTCGAACCTCCTGAGTGATTCTGAGTGCTCGGGGCTGGCCGATACGAGTCGGAACAACTGATTTTGGCCAGTGGCCCGTTAGGGCGTTTGTGGCAAGGGGGGATCGGGATTCGAAACTCGGAAGGTGGGTCGATAAAAAAAATTCAACCTTGGCTGGACCCCCCCTCCCCTCCCCTCCTTCTATATAGGGAAGGTGTTTCCCACCCCTAGCGCCGGGCCGCTCCCGCAGGATTTCTCGCCATCTACCGAACCTTCTTCGTAGTCCCGATACCTCTTGTTTTTAATGTTCGAAGTACATCCCATGGCTCCTAAAGCTATTTAGAGTG